ACAACGTTAAAAGTTCCCAAGAAACTTGAGAAAGAAAATGGGAAGAGGGACTTGTGACACTTTTTAATGACTAACACTTATGTTTCTTAACTATTACCAATTATTTTATTAGTTGTAGTAGTATTATATTATTATTTGTATTATTATCATCATTATTTGTATTATTATCATCATTATTTGTTTTATTATTATATTATCATCATATGTATTATTATTATTCTTATTACCCTTATCATTATTTTATTATTATTATTATTATTATTATTATTATTATTATTATTATTATTATTATTATTATTACTATTATTATTTGACACGTCGGCCGTCTCCCACCAAGGTAAGGTGACTCGAAAAAGAAAGAAACACTATCATTATTTTCACTCCACTGTCTTGCCAGAGGTGCGCCAACACCACTGTCTTAAAAACTCCAAATATCCCCCAGCCTTCCTTTATTTCATTATTATAATCATGGGGGAGCGTTAAACCCGTAGGGAGAATAGAAGGCATTCAGACTCAAGTCAGGGAACTGAAGTACAGATCCAATGATAAGGATAACGTAATAATAATAATAATAATAATAATAATAATAATAATAATAATAATAATAATAATAATAATAATAATAATCTTTGTTTCTACCAGTACAGGATATAACTTACACAGACCATAGCTGACATCAATGACATACTATATAGAAAACCCCTGGTTATGTAAGGCATTTCCCGCAACTTAGGTTAATTTTGTCCTCCAGAATGCCACCCACACCAGTCACCTAACACCCAGGTACCTACTTACTGCTAGGTGAACAGGGACAGCAGGTGTAAGGTGTCTAACACCCAGGTACCTACTTACTGCTAGGTGAACAGGGACAGCAGGTGTAAGGTGACTAACACCCAGGTACCTATTTACTGCTAGGTGAACATTGACAGCAGGTGTAAGTTTAATTGACTGGTGAGGGTGGCATCCTGGGGGACAAAATTAACCTAAGTTGAGGGAAATGCCTTACATAACCAGGGGTTTTCTATATAGTATGTCATTGATGTCAGCTATGGTCTGTGTAAGTTATATCCTGTACTGGTAGAAATGAAGATTATTATTATTATTACTGTTAATTTGATTATTAACATGTAAGTAAATGTCAAATGCGAAGACTGGAGAGAACAGGAAGAATAGGGAGAATATGGAGAATAGGAAGAATAGGGAGAATAGGGAGAAGATTATAGGAGTATAAGAAGGTAACACTTCTCTCCCTTGGATAAAACCGAGACAGAACAAGAAAGTAAGAATCCAGGTTTAATTCACTCAGTTAATTTTGGGTTTGTGAAGACTTTATGATGGCTTTCTTTATCCTCAGGTGCTCTCTCTCTCTCTCTTTCATTCTCTATCTGTCTCTGTCTCTCTCTGTCTGTCAGTCTTTCTCTCTCTCTCTCTCTCTCTCTCTCTCTCTGTCTGTCTGTCTGTCTGTCTGTCTCTCTCTCTCTCTCTCTCTCTCTCTCTCTCTCTCTCTCTCTCTCTCCTCTCTCTCTCTCTCTCTCTCTCTCTTTCACTCTATTATTATTATTGCTATTAATTTTATTACTATTATTATTACTACCACTATTATTGCTATTATTACTATTATAATTATTATTGTTAATGTTATTGTTACTATTATTACTGTCATTATTTTCTCATTATTATTATTATTATTATTATTATTATTATTATTATTGACAGAGGTAGACCGCCGTGTATATTTTGACAGAGGTAGACCGCCGTGTATATTCACATTAACTAACACAGGTAGCGGTGGAGACGCGGTCATCAGTCCGATCAAACAATTTTTAATCACAAAAATCCCTTTGGCAGGAAAATAAAACTCCCCTAATGGTTATAATCATAACCATAATTTTTAAAGGGGTGGAGTGGTAAGCCAGTGGAAGGCCTCGGTCAGCTGACCAAAAGCTCCAGCTGTGGGTCATATGACTCAGACCCACGTCAGGAAACACTTGTCCTGTTTCCTGACAAACATTATATCTATATCCCTTTGGTAACAATTTTTTGCCCGGTTACCTGGTCAGTGGAGCGTAGGTTTGGTAGGGGTTGTTGTAGGGGGGGTAGGGTAGTGGTACTGGGGGTGTTAAAATGTGGTAGTAGTAGTGGTTGTAGAAGTGGTGGTTGTAATAGTGGTGGTTGTAGTAATAGTGATGGTAGTTATGGATGGCGTAGTAATGGTACATGGGAGAATTTAATACCTATTATATTCACGGGAAGAGCTAAATTCGTAGGGGGGTCATTCAGATTGGGGAAGGTAGCTCCAATCCTTTGGATCAAGAGTCCTTTGCCAACGTGGAGACACCTCCCTCTCCCCCCGCCTCTCCTTGCAGGGGAAGGGGGAGTGTGTGGGAGGCAGTGAGGGGGGATTAGGAGGCGAGAGTGGTTGAAGGGGATTGGAAGGGGGATGCATGGTGAGGGGGATTGGAAGGGGAGGCAGGGGTGACGGGGATTGGGAGAGGGAGGCAGGGTGAGTTGATTGGGGAGGGGGGAAAGGGGGGAGTTTGAATGAGAGGGGGAAAGGGGAAGTTTTAGTGGGAGGGGAAAGGGGAGTGGGAGGGGTGGGGTTATGGGAGGGGGAGGGGACAAACCATGAGAGTAAAAGCCAAAGGGAAAAAAAATCAGTTGGTCTTGGTGCTTCGAGGTGGGAGGATGCGCCGCTGCTCCGCGCTGCTCTCCTCTCTTGTATATTGTCAAACTTCTCTTAAAGTTGTAAAACACGCTTTTACCCACACGGATTTAACACTGTGACACTAACGTGTTGATGAAGCGTTACCTTGTTGCAAATGGAGTGATTGTTATGATATTTGTTTAGTCAGAAAAATGTTGCATTTCGGAAATTAGCATAAAAATTAACTAGGCAGACTAAATTGTTTACCATCTTAATGAACTAACAACTGCGTGTCTACACTGCAAACTAAATGGTTTGCCAAACTAATGGCGCTAAAATTTTTAACTTAAAACTGATCTTGACTGATTATTTTGAAGATGGTATTAAATACCGACATGTGCAACAGTTGGGTATCTTTATTGATGAAACGTTTCGCCTGCACAGTAGGCTTCCTCAGTCACATACAGAGGCAGCAGGTGTAGTAGTGAAATAATGATAATGTAATCAGTCCATCAACTTGGGAGGAAAAGTATTTGAGGTGGTCAGTCCCTTAGTCTGGATATCGTTCCAGATCTTGAAGCTGAGTTATTCTCCCTCCTGAGGGACTGACCACCTCATATTTTTTCTCCAAGGTTGATGGACTGATTACATCAGTTTTATGTCACTGCTACACCTGCTGCCTCTGTATTTGACTGAAGAAGCCTGCTGTGTGGGCGAAACGTTTCAAGAATACAGATACCCAACTGTTGTGCATGTGTCTTAATCTTTATTACCGATTCAGTGTCATCACTGAAGGTACTTGACTCATAATGACAAACATGATCAGTGAAAAAATAAAGTGCGGGTACTCAAAAATAAGAAAAAGTAATTAATTTTGTAGATTCCATCACTTTTAACTTACTCTTCATGATAAAGTTGTTAGTCAAAGAAAGTTCCCTGAAGGAAAATGTAGAATATACCTTAGTATATCTGTGCCTGGCATTAGGAAAAATTAGGTGAGAAGTGAATGCAAAGGAATTCATTTAGAAAACTGGCAAGATACATCACTAGGATAACACTGATTGATGCAGCCCGGGTAGGTCTGTTACTAATTAGGATATCACTGATGTAACTGGGATAGATCTATCACTCCATAGGATAATACTGACTGATGTAACTAGGGTAGATGCATCACACACTAGGATAATATTGAGTGATGTAACTAGGGTAGATGCATCACACTAGGATAATATTGAGTGATGTAACTAGGGTAGATGCATCACACACTAGGATAATATTGAGTGATGTAACTAGGGTAGATGCATCACACACTAGGATAATATTGAGTGATGTAACTAGGGTAGATGCATCACACTAGGATAATATTGAGTGATGTAACTAGGGTAGATGCATCACACACTAGGATAATATTGAGTGATGTAACTAGGGTAGATGCATCACACACTGGGATAATATTGAGTGATGTAACTAGGGTAGATGCATCACACTAGGATAATATTGACAGATGTAACCTGGGTAGATGCATCACACACTAGGATAATATTCAGTGATGTAACCTGGGTAGATGCATCACACACTAGGATAATATATTGACTGATGTAGTAATTAGGCTCCTTAGGCTTGGTTATAAACATTTCTGGCAGAGATACTATCTCTCCGTAGATCAAACTTGATGGTATCCCGTTCCTCTCAAGCTCTGCTTGATCCCTGAAGGTTTTTTTATGAATGTAATAATGTGAGACCTGGTCCTACGCACCACTAACCTGCAGTCTAAACTTGTTAATATTTTATACATTTATCATCATTATTATTATTAGGTAAGGTTTGTCAGGAAACAGGGCAACTGTTTCCTAACATGGGTCTTAGTTATATGAGGACTCGCAGCTGGAGCTTTTGGTAATTGACCGAGACCTTCTGTTGGCTTACCCCTCCACCTTAAAAATTGTGGCTGTGATTAGCACTTATTATTATTAATAAACGTTATCATGTGACCTGTCGTATATTCAAAGGAATATATGATGCACCACATTACAAAACAAAGGGCTTACTGATGCTGACAAACAAAGTGCCGGTTGAATCTGCCGGGTATAATTTGAGTTTGACGGGACAAATCTCCCTCAGAAATTACTCGCTTGAGAAAGAAGTCCAGGAGCGCGCCAACAAGTAATCAGACCTTTATTGCGGTATTCAGGTATTTTGGTAAGAATTTATTCTTTATTTTCTGGTCACACAGTCATTAACTATTCACAGTCATGAGCTGTAAATAAGGGAAGTGCAGCAGTATAATCACTTTATATACAAGGGAAATAATCAGTTCAGAAATTCTGTAACTTGCAGAGAGATAAAAAAAAATGTGATCACTTACATAGAGCAATATATTGGTAAGATACTATGTGCTGGAACAATATAGTGCAGTGAATACCAAAACTTTTGATAATATTCTGTAAATTGGTAAGAATCTTTGGAATTTCGGATTGCGTGTCATTTTGGAAAATAAAAACTATGGATATAAGCAAACTATTAGCGTAGTGGATACTACGACAATATATTATTTAGTTAGTAAATCTGTGATACTTAGTATCAGTGAACCAATCTCCTTAAAGTGAAATGGAACGTTACTGAGAACATAAATAGTATTATATAACAAAGACTTTTCTATCTCCGTTGCTTTGATGTGTAATCTATGTAAAGAAACGTTGGTAGAATTGCCATATATAGTGCGTCATTGTTGAGATAAATACTGTGATTCAGCCACGGCTATGACATCACCGGTTCCCAGGACACCACCAACTCAGTTCGTTATCCTGGTTATCTTCAGCTTCGTTATTCAAGGAGGTAAGTCATCAATTCTAACTTTAGGTAGAATATAGTTAAAAACAGTAAAAGTGCAATATTTCATAATCTTAGGATTATATTCTTTTGCTTAGATTGCTTCACACACACACATACCAGGGCTAGGAGCTAAGTATCGACCCCTGAAACCACAATTAGGTGAGTACATACACATACACGCTCGCATGCACACGTACGTACGTACGTATATTTGATGTTAGTCATTGACTCGCATCAGTTGAATAACCTCTGCAGTCACTATGCTCGTCTAGCAAATCTAAGAGTAGCCTTAAGAAATCTCAGCAAAGAGTCATTCCAGGCCCTTTATACAATATATGTTAGGCCCATATTGGAGTATACAACACCAGTAGGGAACCCGCATCTGAAAAAAAATTACGAATCAGGAGAAAGTGAGCTAAGGGGCTTGAGCTGCGAGGAGTGGCTAACGAAATTTAATCTAACGACATTAGAGAACAAGAAAAAGGGAGACATGATGAAAATAATACTCATAGGAATTAATAGGGACGATGAATAGGCGGGAAAACACCTATTCGAGGGATACAGACGAACCGCAGGGATGTCAGGAGCATTTTCTTAGACTCAAGGAAGTAAGAGATCTGAATGACTTCGATGGGGAAGTGATGGAGACAGGCTCCATACATAGTTTTAAAAGCAAGTACGATAGGGCCCAAGAAACAAAGAGGGAATTTAGGATAGGCTAGGTAAGGCTTGTCAGGCAACAAGACGAGTGTTTCCTGTCGCCGGTTTTAAAGAATGAGTCCTGGCGAGCGGTAAGTTGAGAGGCAAGGCCAGGAGCTAGGTTTCGTCCCCAACAACCACATATAGATAAGCACACACCCATCTTCAGGTAACCTTCCTTAAGATTCCATAATTTCTGGAGGTACGGTGGCATGGAATCGACGCTTGGGAAAGGATCAAACACCATCGTATGTGATGTTCACTCAAAGGGAAAGCTATACCATCTCCACTGTACTCGAAGCTGCGAGGGATCCTTGGACAGTGTTCACTGTGGCTCAGTCTTACTGCGTGTCAAGGCCGGTCAAGGAGAGTAGAAGTCGATTAAATCCTTTCGACATTACACGAGGCGAGAGAGAGACACTCCTAACAGCACTTTTACAAAGAGCAGGTCGAGAATCAATCCAGTCTCCAGCTGACGTAACTTTTCACGGTAGGAAGATTGGATGTCGATGTCCCTCACAGTCAATTCACACCTCATTCGACATAGTTTGACACATAAGAGAAAATAAATTAATATACCTCTCGACGCAATTAATGTGCAGCAGAGGGGAAGAGTCCATGTTAACTCTACTGCTTAACTCGAGAAGTAATGAAGAAATTCTATTATTATTATTATTATCATTATTATTATTATCATTATTATTATTATCATTATTATTATTATTATTACTGGATAGTGCTAAATTCGTTACGCCCCACTAAAAATAACAAGTTCAGAAAAAGTATTATCATTACTGGAAAGTGCTATCTAATTATGTTTGATCTAAGGACGGGAATGTAATTACGTTTGATCTAAGGACGGGAGTGTAATTACGTTTGATCGAAGGACGGGGAGGGTAAAAAGGAAGTATATTCATGTTTCAATATATCATGGCGAAGAGGAAGTCAAGTCACCCCCTACTCGACATAGCATGACATACAAAACTAGATTTCAGATTCCGTAAAGCATTTTTCGAAAATCGGACTCGATCCCTCTCGACAGAACTAGACCAGAGGTAATGTCGACTCGTCTCTCTCATGATGGTGGAGCAATACCAAAGAGAGAGAGAGAGAGAGAGAATGTAATCTTTCATCACTGCTGGACTTCCTTCCACGGTAGCCTAGCGGTAGTGTTTACATTCTGACGGCAGCGTTGGAGTCCCACAGGGGATTACAGAGTCCTGACGACCCTGACGTGTCTGATTTTAATACATTTGGTTTTATTTCTACATGTGGCTCTATTATGCATAATATATATATATATATATATATATATAATATATATATTATATAATTATTATATATAAATAACACACATACAAACTATCTCTCGGTTCAGCAGCAAGATTCGAACCTGCAAACTCGGCGTCAGAGTATGCAGTATTTTATCCACACAGCCAGATTCCGGTATCAGAGTATATATGTCATGCCAAATATGTAAAACTGGTCAGTTAGCAAGAACTCATTTAAAATTAAGTCCTCTCTGAAATTTTCTCTTATACATTTAAAGATATATTTTTTTCATTAATGTTAATGTAAAAATTTTTAATTTTGCACCAAAAGAATCTTAGAAAACTTACCTAACCTTATTATAACAAGAGCAATTTATTTTAGCCTAACCCAACTAATTATATTTTAGATTTGTTCACAGTAATTTAATACTAAACAAACACAGTGAAGTATATTTTTTTCGTTAGGTTCAGGATGATTTTGGCGAAATTATTGCATACACAAATTTTCACTTGTCCTATATGGCAAGATGAACGTTACTATTTAAGCCAAGATCGCAAATACTTCCTATTCGGTACGACATATATATATATATATATATATAATATATATATATATATATATATATATATATATATATATATATATATATATATATATATATATATATATATATATATATATTATATTGATAGTTCCTTGATAATGTGAGTAGTCACGAAAGCGCTTGGAATTTCTCTATTCTTTCAGAGTGGTTGTTTTTGCATATTCTGAAATCACCTGTTTACTGTGATCTTATTGTGTGTTAATATATATATATATATATATATATATATATATATATATATATATATATATATATATATATATATATATATATATATATATGTCGTGCCGAATAGGCAGAACTTGCGATCTTGGCTTAAATAGCAACGCTCATCTTGCCATATAGGACAAGTGAAAATTTGTGTATGCAATAATTTCGCCAAAATCATTCTGAACCTAACGAAAAAAATATATTTCACTGTGTTTGTTTAGTATTAAATTATTGTCAACAAATCTAAAATATATTTAGTTGGGGTAGGCTAAAATAAATTGTTCTTGTTATAATAAGGTTAGGTAAGTTTTCTAAGATTCTTTTGGTGTAAAACTGTAAGTTTTTACATTAACATTAATGAAAAAAATATATCTTTAAACGTATAAGAGAAATTTTTAGAAAGGACTTAATTTTAAATGAGTTCTGGCTAATTGACCAGTTTTACATATTCGGCACGACATATATATATATATAATATATATATATATATATATATATATATATATTATATATATATATATATATATATATATATATATATATATATAATTATAAATAAATATAACAATAACAACACTGCGCTAGCCAAGGATTCGAACCCATGTTGTACTGACCTGCTTCATGGGAAGCGAGAACCACATGGCTAGCGCAGTGTTGTTATTGATCAATACCACTCGTTCGTGGTTACAATAATATATAAATACTGCTCGTGAGGCTAGTACACCAAACAGGGATGAGAATGAAATTAGCTTAGAAGCTCCCACACCTCCGTATGCCCTCGGATGGTGGCTCAACAGCTAGCTGTGTGCTGGCTGCACCATTCTTATAGGGTTCGGGTGGTCCTGTGGTTTAAGCGTCATGTGGTTCTCGCTTACCATGAGGCAGGCCAGTACAACATGGGTTCGAATCCTTGGCTAGCGCAGTGTTGTTATTGATCAATACCACTCGTTCGTGGTTACAATAATATATATATGTATGTATGTATGTGTGTGTGTGTATTAAGTAAACTCTCAGTGTATTTACAGTGAGAGACGTAGACCACTGTGTAGAGCTCCTGTGTACTTATATTATTTATATGAAGGTCGTGAAGAGGAGGAGGTCAAAACTCTGTGGTCTTGAACTGCCACGTTTGACTTCCTCTAATGACGGACTCGTGAATGGAGCTGGAAGTCCCCATCCTTTCCTCGCATCAAACCTGATTGCTACCCATTTCCAGGTGTTGCATGACCCTTTCACTGTTGGTTCAACTCGTCTTCAAGACTCAATTAGTAATCACCGCTGACCTCAGTCTGCGGAATAACATTTAAACCCGTAGCCTTTTTCTCGGTTGAAACTACCTTCCCCTTCCTCGGCTCAAATTGATTACCTCTCATTCACCATACGATAATTCTAGCAATAATAATAAATGACGATAATAGTGAAAATAATAATAATAATTATACTGAAGAGAAATTCCTTCAACTCGCAAGGGTCATAAATCGCGCCCTAAAGAATGTGTTAATCATATTTGATCCAAGGAAGGAGAGCGCAGCTTCAGTTCCTTGGATCAAGAACCCTTCCGAGCATCTAAGCACTCCCTCCTTGAGGGGTGTCAAGCTAAAGGTATTATTATATTATTATTATTATTATTATTATTATTAATTATTCTGCTTCGCCGATAGGTATAAATAGATATTAAACTAACTTTGTCGGGTAATTTATTAAATATTATCTTTGTTTGTGGTATTTAGAGCTCACAGATTCTGGAGTCTAGCCTGATTAGGCTATTATTTTAAGCTGATTTAAGTGAGAGTCTACACGAGCATAGCTCTTGTTTGGAATAATAAATATAATAATAATAGTAATTATAATAATCACATAATAATAATAATAGCAATAACAACTTATAATAATAACAAAAAAAATGTGGGGTGGACGTAAGATAAGGGGTTAGAGAGAGTGTGGAGGGAGTTAGAGGAGAGTGTTTGAGTGGGTAGGGATTGAGGAATGTTACAAATGTAAGGCAAGGAATTAGGGAAGGAATTAGAAAAGGAATAGAGAAAGTCATTGATTTACATATTTTTATCGGGTTAAATTCTTTCAACTTTTTTTTATTGTCCTTCTGACATTGATTGCATTGCACACATAATCATTACAGGCCTACAGGTGGTGAATCTCTACGCCAGGAGAATTGAATTTTAATTGAATTTTTACCAGCGAGGCTTCTAATTTATTATGCACCCCATAGTCCTAGTGTGCAGAGAAGCGGGCCTTTTTTTTTTTTTTTTGATTCACAGAGGACTTCCATCTGGGCGCTTAATTCGTGAACAAAATTACAATCCAACATTAAAATTGTTAGTCATTTGTTCAACTGCATTTGATGTTTTTACTAGCAAACTTGGAGTATTTTCTGAATAAATTTGCCTTGAATGGTTATGTTACGTGGGTTAGTGTGCTGACGATCTCTATTTCTTCACGATACTTAACAGTTCGCAAACAGGCGAAATTATTTACAGACATTATCTCTCAGTCCACAACAGGATTCGAACATGTAAACTCTCATCAAAGAGTACACAGTACTCTATCCACACATAAAATGTGCATAAAGTACTGTGTACTCTGATGCCGAGTTTGTAAGTTCAAATCCTGCTGTGGATTGAGAGATTTGTGAATAAGTGAACAATCAAGCCCAAGGAAGTGATCATAGCGCTGAATAAATACTCTATATTTTGTGATCATCATCGTATGTTCCATACTGCCTTCCTGCTATGATTATTATTATTATTAGTTAGTAGTAGTTGTGGAGTATTAGTATTAGTTGTAGTAGGAGTAGCAGCAGCAGCAGCAGCAGCAGTAGTAGTAGTAGTAGTAGTAGTAGTAGTAGTAGTATGAGAAGTATAGTAGCAGTAATAGTATTCGTATTAGTAACAGTATTGGTATTATACTAGTATTGGTACTAGTAATAGTATTAATGTTAAGTGTTAGTATTATATTCAAAAAGCGCAAAATCCGTATGGATTTATTTTGTGACTTGATTATTTAGGCATTCCATAGTTATAATATTACTTGCCCTGACATGATTTAATTATATATATAAAGCTTATTTAGCTGTATGAAGTCTGGCTTCATGTAATGGGTACTGCCCTCTGGGAGAGAGAGAGAGAGGGGGGGAGCAGGGTAGTTAAGGAGGGAGATAGCGAAGAGGACGAAAGTGAAGGACAAAGGGAGGGTAGGGAATGGAAGAGGGCGTGAAGGAGGGATAAAGGAGGTGAAGGATAGGGAGTAGATGAGAGGGAGTGAACGAGTGGAAGGTAGCGAATGAGGGAGTGGCATGGAGTAAGCGAGGGAGTCAGTGAAGGAGGGAGAGATAGAAGTGTGAATAAAGGAGGAATCATAATAATGGTTAACATAGCGTCCATACAGTTCAAAATCTTGGGTTAACACAGTTCCTTCACTGCTCCAAAGACGAATATTCAGATATTCTCACCGTTTCTCACGGTTTTGCCTGATATAATACTTCAATTTCGTTCATATGGTCGAAAGCCCCAGGCTAGTACAACCACTGAGCAGCCCTGGAGGTTATGTCAACATCCCAACAGGGCAAAAGAGCGCTACAGCCCAACCAGAAGGCTAACAATCCCGTAAAAGCAAGCCTAAAGTAACCTTTATGATAATGTAAACAAACTCTCAATGGCGGCCTCCCACTGGTGCCACCAGTACTGGGGGAAAGAATGTTGTTCCCCACTACCTTAGTAGAGGTGAAAATGCCAGTGCAATACATAGAAAAAATAGATCACGAGGCGAGAGTGGAGTTAGGCCCGGGGCAAGGTGAAGGATGGTGGAGCGGGCAACCCTCCAGACAAGTGTCAACACACGCTAAACGTCTGCTTTCATGATGCCCTTTGTGTGTGTGTTGCTTGGGAGGGTGAGGCCTCATTCATAGCTTGACCCCCCTCCCAACCATCAACCTCTCCCTTTCTCTCACTCTCTCCCCAACACACACACACACACACACACACTGGAGACACTTATCAGGGGAGAGTGTTAAAACACTTGGAAAGTATGGGTTTAGGGATGCCAGATTTTATTAACTTGATGAGTTCTGTAACAGTAACAGATGTGCGACGAGAGAGACGGGTGGGTGGATTGCATTTTTTTTAGTTTGCATGAAGACGTTTGAAATTGTACCCTACAAGAATTTGGGCCCAAAAACTTGAGATTCAGCCAGGAATAACAGGGATGTACTCCGGTGGATCAAAGAGTATCCTATTGGAAGGAAGCAGAGTGACTATCAGGAAAGAGACGTCAGAATGGGGAAAGAGTAACCAAGGGGTTTCCGCAAGGATCGGTATTAGACCAGTTCTGCTTCTGGTTTACGTGAACGACTTTCCCTGTTCGATGAAGATGTAAAGCTTAACGATGAGAAGAAAAACAGACGAGGAAAGGGAAAGGCTTCAAAGGGAGTTGGACAAAATGATAAAGTGGTCAGACAAGTGGTTTCCTGAATACAACCCTAGTAAATGCAAGTTTATGAAAATTGGGGAAAGAGCAAGAGAACAGGAAACTAGGAGTACACAGGCTGCAGACTTCATTCCAAGAGAAAGACGTAGGGGTGAGCATAGTGCCCAGTATAACACATCAGCCGAATAACCTCTGCAGTCAATGCTCGTCTGGCAAATCTAAGAGTAGCCTTTACGAATCTCAACAACGACTCATTCCATGCTCTTTATACAACATGCCAGGGAGGACATACTGGCATACAAAATACTCAGCGGAATTAATAAGGTAGCTTGGGATAGGCTGTGTGAGAGGCAAGAAACGGAAACTCGGGGACTGTTGAAAGTTAAAGGCTCAGATGAGTCACAGGGATGTTAGGAAGTATTTCTTGTCTCAGAGTGGTTGGGAAGTGGGATGAACTTGGTGAGGAAGTGCTGCATGCAGGCTTCATACATAGTTTTAAGAGCAGGTACGACAGGTCCCACGAGGCTAAGAGGGAATGAATACGTAGAGTGACAAGTTAAGAAACAGGGCCAGGAGCTGAGAGTCGACTCCTGGAATCGCGAATGTGTGGACACAGGCACGATCGCACGCATGTACAACCACGCTCGCACGCATGCGCAACCACGCTTGCACGCATGCACAACTACGCTCGCACGCATGCACAACCACGCTCGCACGCACACACACACACACACACACACACACACACACACACACACACACACACACACACACACACACACACAACAATTACCCATCAATCCTGCAGATCTCACAGTTCTCCGCCACTTTCAAAATTTCAAATCTCCAATCACCAGCTGAAGCCTCCCCTGATTACCGACTTAAGGGCCAATGAGACGCTGTTTTTTATGCTCCCACCAACCTAATGCTAGAAATGTCCTCCCATTTTGTTCTCGAATTTTGTGTGAAATTTTCTTTGTATTATTATTATTATTATTATATTGTTTTAAGTGGTGGTAATAGTTGTAGTAATAGTGTTATTATTATAATTATTATTACGCGATGTGCTATACGATGGCACTTTGAAGTTATATTTGGGGCAGTACTATTCATATGTGTTATTATAGTAATGAATGATGCACCTCGTCACAAATATGTAGTTGATGCTGGAGGCGACGTATTCCTGAGGTGTGTGATGGAGCACTAACACCAACTAACTCTCCACACTGCTTTTCCCCCACAGGTGTGGGTCAGCAGCAGAGGTTCAGTGTGTGTCCTGAGAGTGTGGAGGTGTCTGAAGGGGATGACTGTCTTCCTGAGGTGCGTGGTGGAGCACCAGCAGGGCAAGGCTCAGTGGACCAAGGATGGCTTCGCACTTGGTAGGTACGAGCCGGTGCTAGGACTCAACCATCTTACAACACTAGCAAGCAAAACACTGTAGATTTTAAAATTGCTTGATTATTTTTCTTAGTCCTCTCTTCTTCTCCTCTTCTTTCTTCTTTATTATTCTTCTCTATTTTTATTAGGTTATCGCTCTTCTCACGTTAAAACAATATTCCTGGAACAATAAAAAACTAATCCACGCTTTGGGCAAGAAACTTCAAGCAGCTTTTCTGTCTATCTTGGACCCTTAACAAGTCATATTTGTGACCTGATGAAAGCTCAGGACGGACCGAAACGTCAACATTTTTCTCTCTGTAGTGTAGGTTAGTTATGGCTTCCTGGCATTGTATTGTAGTTCACTACATTGGTGTTTTCGGACTGGAACATTTCGAATTCTACCAGTGTGTGTAATGAACCGTAGGCAAGGGTTAACTGAATGATAGTAATGACCTCAGAGTGTATAATGCTGACCAGCGTGTATGTGGCGTGTGGGCAGGTGAGCCTAGGTGCTGGTGTATGGACAGGTGCTGGTGTATGGACAGGTGCTGGGGTATGGACAGGTGCTTGTGTATGGACAGGTGGTGGTGTCTGGACAGGTGCTGGTGTATGGACAGGTGCTTGTGTATGGACAGGTGGTGGTGTCTGGACAGGTGCTGGTGTATGGACAGGTGCTTGTGTATGGACAGGTGGTGGTGTATGGACAGGTGCTGGTGTATGGACAGGTGGTGGTGTATGGACAGGTGCTGGTGTATGGGCAGGTGGTGGTGTCTGGGCAGGTGCTGGTGTATGGACAGGTGGTGGTGTATGGACAGGTGGTGGTGTCTGGACAGGTGCTGGTGTCTGGGCAGGTGCTGGTGTCTGGGCAGGTGCTGGTGTCTGGGCAGGTGCTGGTGTCTGGGCAGGTGCTGGTGTTTGGGCAGGTGCTTGTGTCTGGGCAGGTGCTGGTGTCTGGGCAGGTGCTGGTGTCTGGGCAGGTGCTGGTGTCTGGGCAGGTGCTGGTGTCTGGGCAGGTGCTGGTGTTTGGGCAGGTGCTTGTGTCTGGGCAGGTGCTGGTGTCTGGGCAGGTGCTGGTGTCTGGGCAGGTGCTGGTGTCTGGGCAGGTGCTGGTGCTACGTACTGACCTAGTAGATCATGTTTATGTTTTCGGGCAACCTTCTATTATAGGAAAGCACTGGTTTAGCAATAAAGTTGTGTATAAGTGGAACAGACTCCCTGTTAGCATATATACAAATACGTGTGAGTGCTCGCGAATATATCAGCTTAGTGGACCTAATACTATGTTTCACTATTATATTTTTATATTATCCTAATCTGAATTACCTAGTCAGAATTAGAGATAGAATATAGCTTGCCTTTCTTAGCAGACAGCCTGGACATGATTGGCTGTCTTATTAAGTTTAAAAGCCAGTATACTTCACGAGTGCCATTAAGGCTGCAAATCACTTGTACAAAACCAGACAAGAATAATTTAATCTAGAAAATTGGGATTAAAATGAACTCTCAGTATGCATTCGCTTGAGAGATATGAATCATATCTCATTTATTTTTAATTCGAATTGTAATAATAATAATTAAGAGATATGATTCATATCTCTCAAATATTCTTGGTTCTGATTGTAACCTTGATACGAATCACGGGGCCTCGTGTTACTAGACTTACCCATGTACTTAAATGCACTCCTGTGCAGGGTTCGAGCGTGGTGTGCCCGGGTACCCACGGTACCAGTACGCGGGCGACCCCGAGCTGGGGGAACACCACCTGGTTATCACTGGTGTCACACTCACTGAAGACGGCGAGTACCAGTGTCAGGTGGGACCTACTGACACCAGTCCACCCATCTGGGCCGCTGCTAACCTCACCGTACTCTGTGAGTATTATTAATTTTATTATTCGTATTATTATTTTTATTATTATTATTATTATTATTATTATTATTATAATTTTTGTTATTATTATGTTGGTATTATTATATATTTTATTATTGCTGTTACTACTACTATTAATAGTAGTAGTAGTATTCACAGAGCACCTGAAAAAATGGGAGACAATCAAATTTGATTCAAGAAAGTGGAGAGTAGCTCAAATTTATTGGATCAAGAACCCTTCACTAGCATCGAAGAACCTTCCCCCCCTCCTTAAAGAGCCTAAGAATACAGATACTTATATTCAGAGTTAACAAGAACGCTGAAATGACTTCTCTACTCTCACATCTAGGTTTCTGGGGAAGCCTAGATGTGAGAGTAGTGGCTCGTTCTTTACTGGACAGAGGATCGAGCCTACATTAACCCTCTCCCACCTTAACACTGAATGACGAGCACATATACTTGCTTAAAACTTACAAATTAATAATAATTTGGAACTTGTAAACATTAATATAAACTTGAAATTACAGTTAGCAAAATGGCTCCCATGAAAATATATAATTCTGGCAGTTAACAGAACCATTGACCCTCATACATAATGGTAGTAGCAGTACAAGTGTTGACCCTCATACATGATGGTAGCAACAGTGCAAGTGTTGACCCTCATACATAATGGTAGTAGCAGTACAAGTGTTGACCCTCAAACATGATGGTAGCAACAGTACAAGTGTTGACTCTCATACATGATGGTAGCAACAGTACAAGTGTTGACCCTCATACATGATGGTAGCAACAGTGCAAGTGTTGACTCTCATACATGATGGTACCAACAGTACAAGTGTTGACCCTCATACATGATGGTAGCAACAGTGCAAGTGTTGACTCTCATACATGATGGTAGCAACAGTGCAAGTGTTGACTCTCATACATGATGGTAGCAACAGTACAAGTGTTGACCCTCATACATGATGGTAGCAACAGTGCAAGTTTGACTCTCATACATGATGTAGCAACAGTGCAAGTGTTGACTCTCATACATGATGGTAGCAACAGTGACAAGTGTTGACTCTCATACATGATGGTGCAACAGTCAAGTTTGACCCTCACATGATGGTCACAGTGCAAGTGTGACTCTCATACATGATGGTAGCAACAGTGCAAGTGTTGACTCTCATACATGATGGTAGCAACAGTGCAAGTGCTGACCCTCATACATGATGGTAGCAACAGTGCAAGTGTTGACCCTCATACATGATGGTAGCAACAGTACAAGTGTTGACCCTCATACATGATGGTAGCAACAGTACAAGTGTTGACCCTCATACATGATGGTAGCAACAGTGCAAGTGTTGACTCTCATACATGATGGTAGCAACTGTGCAAGTGTTGACCCTCATACATGATGGTAGCAACAGTGCAAGTGTTGACCCTCATACATGATGGTAGCAACAGTACAAGTGTTGACTCTCATACATGATGGCAGCAACAGTACAAGTGTTGACCCTCATACATGATGGTACCAACAGTGCAAGTGTTGACTCTCATACATGATGGTAGCAACAGTACAAGTGTTGACTCTCATACATGATGGTAGCAACAGTACAAGTGTTGACCCTCATACATGATGGTAGCAACAGTGCAAGTGTTGACTCTCATACATGATGGTAGCAACAGTGCAAGTGTTGACCCTTATACATGATGGTAGCAACAGTGCAAGTGTTGACTCTCATACATGATGGTAGCAACAGTACAAGTGTTGACCCTCATACATGATGGTAGCAACAGTACAAGTGTTGACCCTCATACGTGATGGTAGCAACAGTGCAAGTGTTGACTCTCATACGTGATGGTAGCAACAGTGCAAGTGTTGACTCTCATACATGATGGTAGCAACAGTGCAAGTGTTGACCCTCATACATGATGGTAGCAACAGTGCAAGTGTTGACTCTCATACATGATGGTAGCAACAGTGACAAGTGTTGACCCTCATACATGATGGTAGCAACAGTACAATGTCTGACCTCATACATGATGGTAGCAACATGCAAGTGTTTGACTCTCATACATGATGGTAGCAACAGTGCAAGTGTTGACCCTCATACATGATGGTAGCAACAGTACAAGTGTTGACCCTCATACATGATGGTAGCAACAGTACAAGTGTTGACCCTCATACATGATGGTAGCAACAGTGCAAGTGTTGACTCTCATACATGATGGTAGCAACAGTGCAAATGTTGGCTCTCATACATGATGGTAGCAACAGTACAAGTGTTGACTCTCATACATGATGGTAGCAACAGTACAAGTGTTGACCCTCATACATGATGGTAGCAACAGTACAAGTGTTGACTTTCGTACATGATGGTGCCAACAGTACAAGTGTTGACTCTCATACATGATGGTAGCAACAGTACAAGTGTTGACTCTCATACATGATGGTAAAAACAGTACAAGTGTTGACTCTCATACATGATGGTAGCAACAGTACAAGTGTTGACTCTCATACATGATGGTACCAACAGTACAAGTGTTGACTCTCATACATGATGGTAGCAACAGTACAATGTTGACTTTCATACATGATGATAGTAACAGTACAAGTGTTGACTCATACATGATGGTAGCAACAGTGCAAGTGTTGACTCATACATGATGGTAGCAACAGTACAAGTGTTGACTCATACATGATGGTAGCAACAGTACAAGTGTTGACTCATACATGATGGACAACATCAAGTGTTGACTCTACAGATGTCAACGTACAAGGTTGACTTTCATACATGATGGTAGCACAGTCAATGGTATGACTCATACATGATGGTAGCAACAGTACAAGTGTTGACTCACCATACATGATGGTAGCACATACAAGTGTTGACTCATCACATGATGGACACAGTACAAGTGTGACCTCTCATACAGATGGTAGCACAGTACAAGTTTGACCTCTCATACCATGATGGTAGCAATCAGTACAAGTGTTGACTTTCATACATGAGGTAGCAACATACAAGTGTTGACTCTACATACACGAGGAAGCACATGCAAGTGTTGACTCTCATACATGATGGTAGCAACAGTACAATGTTGACTACATACACGATGTAGCACAGTGCAAGTTTGACTCTCATACATGATGGTACAACAGTACAAGTGTTGAACTCTCATACATGATGATAGCAACGTCAAGTGTTACTTTCATACATGATGGTAGCAACATACAATGTTGACTCTCATACACGATGGAGCACAGTACAGGTTGACTTTCATACTATGATGATGTAACAGTACAAGAGTTGACTCTCAACAACGATGGTCAGCAACAGTACAAGTGTGACTTTCATACATGATGGAGCACAGTACAAGTGTTGACTGCTCATACACGATTGTAGCAACAGTTACAAGGTGTTGACTTCATGCATGATGATAGTAACAGTACAAGTGTTGACTCTCTACACGATGGTAAGCAACCAGTAACAAGTGTTTGACTTTCATACTATGAGGATAGTAAAGTATAATTGTTAATGCACTCTCATACAATGCTAGTAACAATAGAAGTGTTCACCCCCATATAATATGTGTGTGTTGACAGTGTCACCGGGGTGAGGCTGGTAGCTGGATGACGGCTGTGTTAGGTGTGTCTGCACACTCACCCTGATGTCTGGAGGACGCTAAGGCGCCTCCATGTGCTGCCTGGTACAGGCTGGCCATACTCCTCCACCCATTATATATACTCTCCTCTTGTAAGCCTGTTCGTCTAATACAACCGGAAGATCTCTGGATATCGATTCTCAGGTATAGCTAGAAATGTGCAAATATCAAGGTATAAGTCACTGTGCCGAAATTTTTTTGGTATTCTAGGTAATCCTCCAACATATGCTTCTTTGACATGGCTATACTTTTCTTTGTCGTACGAGGAGTCTGAGGGAGGCTAGTTTAAGTATATTGTTCGGGTGAGCGTTTAGATAGGATTTCATGAAACGAATGGTTTTTGGGAACCCCGACACTGTTGGAGTTGGGGCAGGGTAAATTTAGCGAAGGGGTTCAAGGAAACCCGGTTTTTTTTTATATACCAGACTTTAGTCCAAAAAGGGGGTACAAACCCTCACTTTTAAAAGGGGGGGTTTGGGGTATTGGGGGTTGGAGGATATGTTATTTTTTATATTGCTTCTAAACTGTTGCTGGCACCTCTGCAAAATTTTAAATTGTGGATGAGGGAAAGTTTGAATGATAAAGTATATTAATTTAAAATATATATATAAAATATATATATATATTAAATAATATATATTTAAAATATAATAGGGGGTTTTTTTTTTGCATTTTTGGATTTAAAAAAAGGCTATGATAGAGTGGATAAGGGGCAATGTGGCAATGTCAAAAAGGAATAGGTGGTAAGTTATTAAATGCTGTAAAGAGTTTTTTTGAGGGTAGTGAGGCTCAGTTTGGGTGTGTAAAAGAGGGAGACTACTTCCCGTAAAAGTAGGTCTTAGACAGGGATGTGAAATGTCACCATGGTTTTTAAAAATTTTATAGATGGGGTTGGTAAAGGAAGTAAATGCTAGGGTGTTTGGGAGAGGGGTGGGATTAAATTATGGGGAATCAAATTCAAAATGGGAATTGACACAGTTACTTTTTGCTGAGATACTGTGCTTATGGGAGATTCTAAAGAAAAATTGCAAAGGTTAGTGGTTTGAGTTTGGGAAGGGTTGTAAAGGTAGAAAGTTGAAAGTGAACATAGAAAAGAGTAAGGTGATGAGGGTGTCAAATGATTTAGATAAAGAAAAATTGGATATCAAATTGGGGAGGAGAGTATGGAAGAAGTGAATGTTTTTCAGATATTGGGAGTTTACGTGTCGGCGGATGGATTTATGAAGGATGGGGTTTATCATAGAATTGATGAGGGAAAAAAGGTGAGTGTGCGTTGAGGTAAATGTGGAGTCAAAAAACGTTATCTATGGAGGCAAAGAAGGGAATGTATGAAAGTATAGTAGTACCAACACTCTTATATGGGTGTGAAGCTTGGTGGTAAATGCAGCAGCGAGGAGACGGTTGGAGGCAGTGGAGATGTCCTGTTTTAAGGCAAGTGTGGTGTAAATATTATGCAGAAAATTCGGAGTGTGGAAATTAGGAGAAGGTGGGAGTTAATAAAAGTATTAGTCAAGGGGAGAAGAGGGTTTTGAGGTGGTTTGGGCATTTAGAGAGAATGGATCACAGTAGAATGACATGGAAAGCATATAAATCATAGGGAAGGAAGGCGGGGTAGGGGTCGTCCTCGAAAGGGTTGGAGAGAGGGGTAAAGGAGGTTTGTGGGTAAGGGCTTGGACTTTTCCCGCAAGCGTGCGTGGAGCGTGTTAAGATAGGAGTGAATGGAGACGAAAAGGTACTTGGGACCGACGATCTGTTGGAGTGTGAGCAGGGTAATATTTAGTGAAGGGGTTCAGGGAAACCGGGTTAAATTTTATATAGTCGGGCTTGAGTCCTGGAAATGGGAAGTACAATGCCTGCACTTTAAAAGGGGGGTTTGGGATATTGGCAGTTTGGGGGATATGTTGTGTATCTTTATATGTTTATGCTTCAGACTGTTGTATTCTGAGCACCTCTGCAAAAACAGTGATAATGTGCGGGGTGTGGTGAAAGTGTTGAATGATGATGAAAAATATATTTCTTTTTGGGGGTTTTTTTCTTTTTTGGGGCACCCTGCCTCGGTGGGAGACGGCCGACTGTTAAAAAAAAAAAAAAAAAAAAAAAAAATATATATATATATATATATATATAAATATAATATATATAATTATATATATATATATATATAATATATATATATATATATATATATATATATAATATATATATATATATATATAATATAATAAATATATATATATATATATATGCAAAACAACCACTCTGAAAGAATAGAGAAATTCCAAGCGCTCTCGTGACTACTCACATTATCAAGGAACTATGAAAGTAAAGCATCCAAGGAAACTTTTGATAAAGAATTCCCCCCAAAATGCTGATGGATGTGTCTATAAGATTCCTTGTAAAATTTGCGATAAAGTTTATTACGGTCAAACTGGAAAAAATCTCGAACTAAGATTAAAACAACATAAATATAGCATTAGAACTGGACAAGATTCCAATGCTCTATTTATTCATGTAAGAGATTTTAACCATCGTATTGATTTTCAAAAAGTTGAGAAAGTAGTATCAAGCAAGTCCATGGTCGACAGGAATATAATTGAATCTTGTTTCATAAAAAGCAGTTTTGACAATAATATGAATATTTCCTTTGGTTTATATAAATTAGATCCATTTATAATTAATAGAATTTTGGAAGAATTTAAATAACATGGACAAATAATAATTTTTAAATTTTCTTGGGTAGAATATTTGTGGGTGAGTTGTGCATAGGACCTATCCAAGTTTGGGTCGGCGTGCGTCAGGTGTTTAACCGTTGTGGGATCTGATAGTGAGGTGTTGGCCAGACCCCTTATATAGCTTCCTTGGATGCTTTACTTTCATAGTTCCTTGATAATGTGAGTAGTCACGAAAGCGCTGGAATTTCTCCTATTCTTTCAGTGTGATTGTTTTGCATATTCTGAAATCACCTGTTTATGTGATCTTATTGCATATATATATATTATATATATATATATATATATATATATATATATATATATATATTATAATATATATATATATATATATATATATATATATATATGTCGTGCAGAATATGTTAAACTGGTCAATTAGCAAGAACTCATTTAAAATTAAGTCCGTTCTAAAATTTTCTCTTATACGTTTAAAGATATATTTTTTTCATTAATGTTAATGTAAAAATTTTTAATTTTGCACCAAAAGAAACTTAGAAAACTTACCTAACCTTATTATAACAAGAACAATTTATTTTAGCCTAACCCAACTAAATATATTTTAGATTTGTTTACAGTAATTTAATACTAAACAAACACAGTGAAATATATTTTTTTCGTTAAGTTCAGAATGATTTTTGGTGGTACATGCCGGTAAAAATACTATACGATAGTAAGGTGGATAAAGACATAAAAGGAAAATATTAGGACACTTTATTGGAAAAAAACGTCCTGGTGTTTTCATTTTGATTATTTTTCAATTGCCAGAATATACCCTAATGTTGTATCTGGCTGTAATATACTAGGATATACTCTTACATGCCATTCACCTGCTGTCTCCGTAGCAGATTCTCAGGTAGATCACGTGGAGCCTTCAACATCACCTAGGAGGTGGAACGTGAGGAGTCAGGTGAAGGTGACAGCCAGACCAGGTGATGATGGACGAGCAGTCTCCTGCCAGGCGCTACACCCAACACTCCAGGACCTGCCCACTCCACTCGCTGCCTCCGTCACTCTTTCCGTTCTCCGTAAGTTAGTGGCGCCGTGCCTCTCTTCCACCCTACAAGTACAAGTTGAAAATGACTGATAATACCGACAAGTAGCATGTGTTACGTCATACCTGGAGGGTGTTCCGGGGGGTCAGTGCCCCAGCTTCCTGGGGTCAACGCCCCCGCCGAGACCTTACCATCGGCAACATTTGCATGGTTTTTCTAACAGACCTGCATGGCTCATTTAACACCTGCATAGCTCCTCTAACACTGCGTAGTTCTAACACACCTGCATGGCTCCTCACACACCTGCACGGTTCCTCTAACACACCTTCATGGATTCTCCAACACACCTGCATGGCTCTAACGAACACCTGCACATGTATTACTACACTACTATTTCCACCTCCTCTTCCATTACTATTTTCACTTCCTTCTTTTTATTTTTCTACGTCTTTCTCCCGTCCCTGCCCTCCTCTCGTATATATACTGGCTCCCTTACCTTTGTATGTTAGTGTGTGTCTAGTTAATGAACCAAGTAGGACCCAAACGTCGTCATAAGTTTATTTCTCCATGTGTGGGTTATTTGTGTATTGTTCCAGTCATGGTATTGAGACTGTCTCGACCCAGCTATGATACCTGTATCTCTTTGACATGGCAACATCTCTTCCCACAGGGAAGTAGAGACTGTCTCTACCAAGATATAACATGTGCTTCTTTGACATGGCAACATCTCTCCCCGCAGACCCACCAGGACCCCCTGTCATCAGCGGCTACACCCAAGACGAGGTCCTCCTGGCCGGGGAGCGACGCTCCCTGTCGTGTCGGTCAACAGGGGGCAACCCTCGACCCTGGGTCCTCTGGTACCGCCAGGGACGACTTGTCGACGACACCACGACTACTGTGCGTGGCGGAGACGACCAGAGCAAGGAACAAGGAGTGGTGAACGAGCACGAGCTGGCGGTGACCCCGCAGGAGGATAGTGCCCTCTATGAGTGTCGAGTCACCAGTGACCTCCTTGAGACCCCTCTCACTGCCAACCTCACCCTCACTGTATACTGTGAGTTCTGCCAAATGGTTTAGTCTGTGCTCCAAGGCACAAATATAGTCATCAGCAGGTATAATCACGATTGATTGTTATTGTATCTTACGGCTAAGCTGTAAATAATAAGATATTACAAGGACCTCAGTGGAAATAAGTCAGTTTTTCTGACTTTCGGATTATCCTAATTTACAGTGTATGGTAATTGTACTTATTTGTACAAATACTTAAATAAACTCACTATAAGTACAATTTTGGGAGGGGTTATCCTAGATAATTTACACATAACATTTGTTATATTGCTTGAGTGTATATATTTACAACGTCAACTGTAACTGATTTTTACACAGTTGAGTTATTAGGCTGTTTTAATATTAAGGTTATAATCCTGACTGATTTCTACTGTAACTTACTGCTAGGCTTGAAATAATAAGCTATTACAAAGACCACAATGGAAATAAGTCACTTTGATTTTTGGGGTTATCCTAGGTTTTACACAAGTCTTAAACTGTTCATGATAATTGTACTTATTATACCTGTACCTAAATAAAATTAGGCACCGAGAGCCGGGTACCCCTTGTTGCTGTGTCCCATCTTTGGAACGTCATGTCTCTGTCCACTTTGTCGATTCCTCTCAGTATTTTATCAATGTATGTACACCGTGAAATTATTTTATTTTTTTATATTCAGGACTAAAGTATTATTAACTAGTGGTGAACAGGGTACCATCAATAAGCGATAAATCCCATTAACCAGTCAAACCGTTGTTACATAAAAAGTGCTCTTATGCATTCTTGTTATGTGACTCACGTGTGAATTACAGAAAATAGTCTTAATTTCTGTGGGTGATACACAGTGAGTCTTTGTATAAAATGAATTTACTCAAATTTGCAACCAAAACCACCCCCTCTACTGCTACTACTACTGATACTACTGCTGCTGCTACTTCTACTATTACTACTATTACTTCCTCTCGTTCTACCACTCCCTTCCCCCACCCTCTCGTATATATTATACTGCTGTTACTACCTCCTCTCGTTCTACCACTCCCTTCCCCCGCCCTCTCGTATATATTATACTGCTGTTACTACTTCCTCTCGTTCTACCACTCCCTTCCCCCGCCCTCTCGTATATATTATACTGCTGTTACTACTTCCTCTCGTTCTACCACTCCCTTCCCCCGCCCTCTCGTATATATTATACTGCTGTTACTACCTCCTCTCGTTCTATCACTCCCTTCCCCCACCCCCTCTCTTATATATTCTGAACTCCTTCCTTCTCACTTCAGTGTGACTTGTTAATGGTCCAAGTCAGACCGAGACATAGTCATAAGTTCCAGTTTCTTAAGTGTGGGTTATTTTATATTAATTTTTTTCCTGGCAGATGCGCCTGCTACGGTAACCATCAGTGGAGCCAGCCAAGTGGAGGCAGGTGGAGTGTTGAACCTTACCTGTGAGAGTAGTGATTCCAACCCTCCAGCCTCACTCACCTGGACCATCCAAGGTACATCATAACATTTTAACCTTACTTGTGAGAGTAGTACCTCCAACCATCCAGCTTTCCCTTCACTCTCCTCAAGATGGTAAATACATAATTTAGGTCACAAAATCTTGAAGACAAACAACTCTAGCAACAAGTTGGACCAGAGACACTTCTGGAATTTAAATAATTACGTGATAGTTAAACCCATTGTGAGTCATTCAACGCAAGGAGCGGTGGAAGCTCGATCCTCCGTGCACTGATCGTGAGACAGTCGTGCTGCTGAAGCTTTCCTTTTTTTAGTTATTATTATTATTAGTAGTAGTAGTAGTAGTATCATTATTATACTATAATTATATTATTATTATTATTATTATTATTATTATTATTATATTATTGTGGCATAGTTATATTGGGAGAAGTTTCTTTAAGTTAGTTATGGTGTAAATATGATAATGATATACAATACCGACACGTTAATAAGATACATGTGCAACAGTTTGGTGTCTATTCCGAAACGTTTCGCCTACACAGTAGGCTTCTTCAGTCGAGTACAGAGGAGTTAGCAGCAGTGGAGATGTAATCAGTCCATCACCCTCGAAGTTTTGAGGTGGTCAGTCCCTCAGCCTGGAGAAGAGTTCAGCTCCATAGTCTGGAACAATGTCAAGCTGAAACTGAAGTTGGAACCAGGCTGAGGGACTGACCACCTCAAAGCTACGTCTTCAAAGCTGATGGACTGATGACATCGTCTTCTGTCTCCTCTGTGTTCGATTGAACACATCAAATGTAAACAATTCAGATTTGTGTTACTATAGAAATCCAACTTATCAATACAAATCCATTTTATTGGCACAAATTCATTTACTAATATAAATCCGTTTCATTGCTATAAATCTGTTTGTTATAAATCCGTTTTGTTGTTATAAATCTGTTTAAATGTTATAAATCTGTTTAAATGTTATAAATCGTTTTATTATAAATCCGTTTTATTGTTATAAATTCGTTTGTTATAAATCCGTTTTATTTTAAATCCGTTTTATTGTTATAAATCCTTGTGTTTTAAATCCGTTTTATTATAAATCCGTTTTATTGTTATAAATACTTTTCATTATAAATCTGTTTTATTGTTATAAATCCATTTTATTGTATAAACGTTTTATTAACATAAGTGTAGTTATTAATACGTTTGGTTGGGTCCCGCACCGGCTTCGCAGGAGAGGTGTTGGAGCGCAGCAAGGCGGTGGTGGGTCGTGATGGGTCAGGTGGGTGGGTCACCTCGTCCCACCTCACCCACCTTACACCCACACCTACCAACCTCACCCACCTCACCGTAGAATGTCGGGCGCTCAACCCAGCCATTGAGAGAGTCGTCAGGAAGGTCACTACTGTCACTATTATAAGTAAGGTCACCACTGTCACTATTATAAGTAAGGTCACCACTTTCACTATTATAAGGTCACCACTGTCATTACAAGGTCACCACTCACTATTATAAGTAAGGTCACTTCTGTTACTATTATAAGGTCACAACTGTCATTATTATAAGGTCACCACTCATTATTATAAGGTCTCCACTGTTACTATTATAAATAAGGTCACTGTCACTATTATAAGTAAGGTCACTCACTATTATAAGTAAAGTCACACACTATGATCCTTTACAACAGATTTCGTGTTGCATATCTCAAAATAACTTCATTTAACTCCACTCTTCCTCAGTTGACTATTATTATTACTATTATTATTGTTATTAGATTTTATGTTTATTATATACTCTGATTCACGTCACTTTTATTTTTTTCAGGACCTGCAGGTCATCCAGAGTTCGAGTGTGACTTGAGCGAGGCGCTGCTGGCAGGTACCAACTTTGACCTGACCTGTGTCAGTGTGGGAGGTCACCCGCCACCCACCATCAGGTACGTCAGTATTATTATTATTGTAATTACTAATATTATTGTTACTGTTATTATTTTTATTATTGTTATTGTTAATTATTATTATTATTATTATTATTGTTATTATTACTATTATTGTTATTTTTTCAACACGCTGGCAGTCTCCCACCGAGGCAGGTGACCCAAAAAAGGAAGAAACACTTTCACCATCATTCACACATAATCACTGTGTCTGCAGAGGCGCCCAGATATGACAGTTTAGATGTCACTCCAAAGAGTCAATATCCCAAACCCTTCCTTTAAAATGCAGGGATTGTACTTCCCACCTCCAGGACTTAAGTCCGGCTAACTGGTTTCCGTGAATCCCTTAAAATATTACCTTGCTCACACTCCAACAGCTCGTCAGGTCCCAAAAAACAATTCGTCTCCACTCCTGTCTAACACGCTCACACATGCCTGCTGTATGTCCAAGCCCCCATTGTACACGAAACCTCTTTTACCCCCTCCATCCTTTCCTAAGACGACCCCTACCCCTTATTCTCTCCACTACAGATTATACACCCTCCAAGTCATCCTATGTTGCTCTATCATCTTTAAATGACGAACCCACCTCAACAACCCCTCTTCAGCCCTCTGAATAATACTTTTAGTATCTCCACACCTCCTAATTTCCACACTACGAATTCTCTGCATAATATTTACACCACACATTGCCCTCAGACACGACATCACTGCCTCCAGCCGCCTCCTTACTGCAGCCTTCACAGCCCAAGCTTCACACATATAAAAGTGTTGGTACCACTATACTCTCGTACATTCCCTTTTTTGCCTCCATGGATAATGTTCTTTGTCTCCGCAGATACCTCAATGCAATTATTATTATTGTTGCTGTTACAATTAGTGTTATTATTATTGTTGTTGTTACAATTTTTACAATTATTATTATTATTTTTATTATTATTATTACTACTATTGTTATTTTACTATTATTTTTATTATTATTGTTGTTACTAATATTATTATTATTATTATTATTATTATTATTATTATTATTATTATTAAATTCGGTGATTTTAATGAGTCTAGCTCACCTGTGCTGAACTTTGTCTCCCTGCCACTATCTTTCTCCCTGGCAGGGTGTACAAGGGAGAGGAGGAGGTGGCGACGGAGGTGAGCGTGGATGTGGGCGTGGCACGGGCGCGGGCGGAGGTGGAGGTACGCCCGTCTGATAATGGGGTGGATGTGAGGTGTGAGGCGGTGAACCCCGCCTCACCAATACCCCTCACAACCTCCCACACCCTCTCTGTCCTCTGTGAGTACCGCTGAGGGTAGTAGTGGTGATAGTAGTAGTAGCGGTATTAGCAGTAGTGTAAGCAGTATTAGTAGTGCTAGTAGAAATGCTTTCACTAGTTATACTAGCATATTAATAATACAGTGACGCTGCTAGTAGTAATAATATCGCTAACCGTAATAATAATAACACAGCTAGTAGTAGTGGTAGCGCTAGTAATAATGGAATAATTAGCAGTAATAATGACTCGGCTAGTAATAATTAGGGTACTATTTAAAAGTATTATTAATTATCATTATTTCATCATTTATATTATTATTACTATTATTTATTTATTATTGTTTATTATTAGTATTATTATTATTATTACTATTTATTTATTACTGATTATTATTATTATTATTATTATTATTATTATTATCATCATCATCATCATCACTGGGGAAGCACAAAACCTGTAGGGGCTCCTACAACACCTTGGCACTGAGAGGGAATTAAGTACAAGACATAGAAAGGTTAGACACCTTCAGTACCTTGAATCAAGAACCCTGTACCAGCGTCAAGGCACCCTCCCCCCCTTGATGAGTCAGCATTTACAAAATAATATATAAGTATATATATATATATATATATATATATATATATATATATATATATATATATATATATATATATATATATATATATATATATATATATAGGGTTTCAAATAGAGTTAGAGCTAAAGAAGGAGTAGCAATAATGTTGAAGGATAAGCTATGGCAGGAAAAGAGGGACTACAAATGCATAAATTCAAGGATTATGTGCAGTAAAATAAAGATTGGATGTGAAAAGTGGGTTATAGTAAGCGTGTATGCACCTGGAGAAGAGAGAAGTGTAGAGGAGAGAGAGAGATTCTGGGAAATGTTGAGTGAATGCGTGGGGAGTTTTGAATCAAGTGTGAGAGTAATGGTGGTTGGGGATTTCAATGCTAAAGTGGGTAAAAATGTTATGGAGGGAGTAGTAGGTAAATTTGGGGTGCCAGGGGTAAATGTAAATGGGGAGCCTTTAATTGAGCTATGTGTAGAAAGAAATTTGGTAATAAGTAATACATATTTTATGAAAAAGAGGATAAATAAATATACAAGGTATGATGTAGCACGTAATGAAAGTAGTTTGTTAGATTATGTATTGGTGGATAAAAGGTTGATGGGTAGGCTCCAGGATTTTACATGTTTATAGAGGGGCAAACTGATATATCAGATCATTATTTAGTTGTAGCTACAGTTAGAGTAAGAGGTAGATGGGAAAAGAGGAAGGTGGCAACAACAAGAAAGAGGGAGGTGAAAGTGTATAAACTAAGGGAGGAGGAAGTTCGGGCGAGATATAAGCGACTATTGGCAGAAAGGTGGGCTAGTGCAAAGATGAGTAGTGGTGGGTTGAAGAGGGTTGGAATAGTTTTAAAAATGCAGTATTAGAATGTGGGGCAGAAGTTTGTGGTTATAGGAGGGGGGGGCAGGAGGAAAGAGGAGTGATTGGTGGAATGATGAAGTAAAGGGTGTGATAAAAGAGAAAAAGGTAGCTTACGAGAGGTTTTTTACAAAGCAGAAGTTGTTATAAGAAGAGCAGAGTATATGGAGAGTAAAAGAAAGGTGAAGAGAGTGGTGAGAGAGTGCAAAGGAGAGCAGATGAAAGAGTGGGAGAGGCACTGTCAAAAATTTTTTAATGAAAATAAGAAAAAAATTTGGAGTTAAATAAGTTAAGAAAGCTTAGGGAAAGTATGGATTTGTCCGATAAAAACAGAGTAGGGGAGTTAGTAGATGGGGAGAGGGAGGTATTAGGTAGATGGCGAGAATATTTTGAGGAACTTTTAAATGTTGAGGAAGAAAGGGAGGTGGTAATTTCACACACTGGCCAGGGAGGTATACCATCTTTTAGGAGTGAAGAACAGCAGAATGTAAGTGTGGTGGAGGTACGTGAGGCATTACGTAGAATGAAAAGGGGTAAAGCAGCTGGAACTGATGGGATCATGACAGAAATGTTAAAAGCAGGGGGGGATATAGTGTTGGAGTGGTTGGTACTTTTGTTTAATAAATGTATGAAAGAGGGGAAGGTACCTAGGGATTGGCGGAGAGCATGTATAGTCCCTTTATATAAAGGGAAAGGGGACAAAAGAGATTGTAAAAATTATAGAGGAATAAGTTTACTGAGTATACCAGGAAAAGTATACGGTAGGGTTATAATTGAAAGAATTAGAGGTAAGACAGAATGTAGAATTGCAGATGAGCAAGGAGGCTTCAGAGTGGGTAGGGGATGTGTAGATCAAGTGTTTACATTGAAGCATATATGTGAACAGTATTTAGATAAAGGTAGGGAAGTTTTTATTGCATTTATGGATTTAGAAAAGGCATATGATAGAGTGGATAGAGGAGCAATGTGGCAGATGTTGCAAGTTTATGGAATAGGTGGTAAGTTACTAAATGCTGTAAATGCTGTGTGAGGCTCAGGTTAGGGTGTGTAGAAGAAAGGGAGAATACTTCCCGGTAAAAGTAGGTCTTAGACAGGGATGTGTAATGTCACCATGGTTGTTTAATATATTTATAGATGGGGTTGTAAAAGAAGTAAATGATAGGGTGTTCGGGAGAGGGGTGGGATTAAATTATGGGGAATCAAATTCAAAATGGGAATTGACACAGTTACTTTTTGCTGATGATACTGTGCTTATGGGAGATTCTAAAGAAAAATTGCAAAGGTTAGTGGATGAGTTTGAGAATGTGTGTAAAGGTAGAAAGTTGAAAGTGAACATAGAAAAGAGTAAGGTGATGAGGTATCAAATGATTTAGATAAAGAAAAATTGGATATCAAATTGGGGAGGAGGAGTATGGAAGAAGTGAATGTTTTCAGATACTTGGGAGTTGACGTGTCGGCGGATGGATTTATGAAGGATGAGGTTAATCATAGAATTGATGAGGGAAAAAAGGTGAGTGGTGCGTTGAGGTATATGTGGAGTCAAAAAACGTTATCTATGGAGGCAAAGAAGGGAATGTATGAAAGTATAGTAGTACCAACACTCTTATATGGATGTGAAGCTTGGGTGGTAAATGCAGCAGCGAGGAGACGGTTGGAGGCAGTGGAGATGTCCTGTCTAAGGGCAATGTGTGGTGTAAATATTATGCAGAAAATTCGGAGTGTGGAAATTAGGAGAAGGTGTGGAGTTAATAAAAGCATTAGTCAGAGGGCAGAAGAGGGGTTGTTGAGGTGGTTTGGTCATTTAGAGAGAATGGATCAAAGTAGAATGACATGGAAAGCATATAAATCTATAGGGGAAGGAAAGAGGGATAGGGGTCGTCCTCGAAAGGGTTGGAAAGAGGGGGTAAAGGAGGTTTTGTGGGCGAGGGGCTTGGACTTCCAGCAAGCGTGCATGAGCGTGTTAGATAGGAGTGAATGGAGACGAATGATACTTGGGACCTGACGATCTGTTGGAGTGTGAGCAGG